GTACATCTGGCATCAAAACGTTCTCCAGCTTTTCTGTGGACATGAACACGACGATGCTGACCAAAGAGTTCCGACTCGGACTCGTCTGTCCAGAGGACCTTCTTCAGTCATCTACAGTCCAGTGTTTGTGCTCGCTGGCAAACCTGAGGTGTTTCTGGATGTTTGCAGGCCTCAGTAAAGCTTCTCAGCAGCTCTTCTTCCCTCTAAGCCTTGTTCCATCAGTCGTCTCATATGGTCACTCTGGAGACCTTCTCAGACTCTGGTCTAGAAGCATCTCTGGCTGAAGATCAGCAGTGGTCTTCCTTCTGTCTCTGGTCCTGAAGAGCTGGAGGTGTCTGACATCTGCTCCAGGTAACTTTGGTTTCTTGTCTTTTCCTTGGAGCATTTTGTAAGAACCAGAGAAACTAACTACTATGAATTTTAGTACAAGAGTGATACCTCAGCAGATGGTCAGTTCTGAAATCCTTACATTCACGTGGTAAACTGTCAGCTTTACTTTTTTTTTAGTCAGCACAACAACATTGTTCTTATTGTACATCTCATTGAGGTTGTGTTCTTCTTACTATTGGGTTAAATGCAATACATTTCCTCCCAACTATGAGACAATCAGAGGAAGACCTGAGACATTCAGGAGAAAATAAACTTATCCAGACTGCACCCCTGACTCTTCCAGGTTTGATGCATGTGCCTGAGCTAATCTGTAAATCGCTAACAGAGCTGCATCTTAAACACTGGATCTGCTTTCTGTCCTTGTGAAGTGCACTTTTCAGAGTTTGGCTTGTGACAGACTTTAGTCACGAACAGATGCGGCTCCTGACTGTAGATACATGATGTCATGACACGAGAAGATGCTGACTAAATCCTGGCAACAGCTGCGGGGCAGGAAGGCTAATGGTTCTGATGCGATGAGGCAGAACTGTGTATGCCTTCCCCGTCGCAGCATGCATATGGTGCACACAGTAAATGTTATCCATCAGTCAACGCTGTCTGCAGCACTTCCTCCAGTGAAACAAGCAGAGCGTCTGATTCCTGCTGGAACCAGTTATTTAATGCGGTGACGAGCTGTTTGTGCTCTCACCACCACCTCTGAATGTTTCTTTGGGTCGAAGCTGCAACTCCAATGTCTGGCAGCAGAGCAACCGGACACGAACAACAGATCGTCTTCATCCCTTCAATGAAGCTGGAAAGCCGCATTTAAGTTTTTCAAGAAAATAG